GTATCGGCCAATATATGAACTGCAGTGTGTGCCACTTCCGTATTGGCGTCCCGGCTCTTCCACAGAAGGTAAACATAGATGGGTACATAGAATATGAATAAATCGTCACCGATGTAGAGGATATATTTTTTTATTCACTTTGAACTCGGCCAAATGGAGTTTAATGCTTTGGGATTTAAGTTAGTACGTGCATGGGTTTGAAAGTATAACGTGCTAGCCTGCTGTAATACATCGTATAGTCAGGCACACATTTATGAGATTTAACAATGGCCAATTATATTTCTTAAATAATATGTAACCTATTCCCAGAGCATAATTCATGGGGCAACAAGGTGAGGTGTAAAATGTGTTTTAATATCATACATTTTACGCCAGCAAACTTCTTGTACGGACTTCGGCAGTAGTGAAGAGTCACTGAACGAATTAAGTACAAAGACGAATCGTTCGCGAACGTGCAAATCACCAGAAGTCGTTCGCGAACCGGTGAACGAATCAGTGAACAAATCTTTAAAGAGAACTGAATCAAAAGATTTGTGTCTCCGAAGGGATTCGAAATGCCCATCACTATTGCCCACAGTATTGAGTATGTAAGTCGCTTTGGATAAAAGCGTCTAACGTGACATGTAATGTAATGTAAAAATCGGATAATTAATATTAGCTGCTAATGGTAGCCACCAGAGTGTATCGCAGCATCTGGTTTTGGCTAGCTTCACTCTCACTCCTTATTTGGTAACGTGTGTGTGCATGTGGAACCTTCCCTCGATTCCATTGGCTCTAGCGGTTAAAAAGAGATGTCAATCATCAAAATCGACAAAGGGGGGCCAGAGATAGGTCAAATCCACCCAAATGTCCCCAGAAGTGTTTTTGTTTGCTAAATCTCTCTAAAAAGGTCAAATTTCACTTGTTTTGTATCAATCTTGATACAGGATACTTATGTTATAGTTTGGATTCCTAAAGCTTTTAGTCTACCATCCCATCATTCAAGGGTGGTTTTCACTATCAGTAATGTTTTTCTTTTGGACGGACATTATAATTTACATTTTTGTACTATGTTCAATCTGAATTAACTTTAAAATAAAAACATCTATATTGATTCTGACACTTCTACATCCAACTCACAGATGTAACCTTGCTTTGAGAAAAAAGAATATTAATTTACCCCTTTTAGAATTGCAGATATGGTCATTTGTTCTGGGAATGTCATTTTCGAGCCTGAAACCTGAAAAACAGGCTCAGGGCTTAACAGGCTAAATGTAGACACTAAACACTGCAAGATACAATAAATCCAGGTCAAGTTTCTTTAGAACTGCAGTTATTTCTACTGTGGTTCAGGTTTGACATTGCACTATGCCTTAATGCTCTGGATAACAGCTGACAGCAACCTGCACCTGCATCCTGCTCTGGATAACAGCTGACAGCAAGGTGCATCCTGTACCTTTAACAGAACACAAGGGGAACAGCCAGAATATATCAAATACTGCAGCTTTAAGACAAAAACTATTTCAACAAATCTTTATTATTTCCAATTTGTTCCATAATCTTCATAATAAACGTTTCAGCCATTTGAATATCAACTCAAATAAGAAAATCAACAAAAAATCACCAGATATGAAGAAAAATACATAAAAAAACATAATTGAACTTTCAAAACATTTTTTTAAAGATGGCAAAGAATCAAACCGATTATTAATATATTAAAAATGCAGGATTACTCTATGGGATTGCAACCATAAAGTTGAGGCAACATTAACAAATATTCTTCCTCTGTAAACTTCTGTAGAGTTAATGAAGTTATTAAATGAGATTTACTGTAGCAGCATAGTTGAAACAACTACCTTACAAGGAATTTATGCGTACCAAAGATATCAATTATTGTCAATTTAGTGACTGGGATGAGAGAATCCATGGTTTCCTGAAACTGCATCTCTTTACTCCCCATCAAAGCCAGCTATTGTTCCCTTAAGGTAACACAACATCACTGTACATTTGGAAGTAATGACAATCAAAAATAATAGTAAATAAACTAGTATTCCAACATATAAAGCATTATGAAACATTTTCAAGTGATAAGGAAAATTCCAATTAGGAGAACCTTCTTTTGAAAAGTTAACATAGCAAAAATCACTTTGGCGTGAAATCTAAGTAATAGCACTTCATTTATGAAACTGTTTATGTCACTTCATTACAAATATATGAACGTTTCATACTGCCGGCTTCAGCAATACTAAATTGTATATCAGACCAAAAGGCATCATGTGCTTCACAGGAATCAAAAACAAAGAGGTAGGCAACATTTTGAAAAAAGTCATGTAAATAAAAAAAGATTAATGTAAAATACTTCTTGTATGGAAGGGACTGTAATAGGCAACTAACAGTGTAAATATGTATTATATTTAGGAGCACCACATGTAAATGAATAAGTTAGTGATTGTGTACCTGAGTAAAGAGCTTTTCCCATGGACTGTTGTGTTGTGAAAATATCAGCTGCTGTTTTTGCAACAGTAAACAACTAGAAGGATTCAAACCACCACACAAAGCACTTGTGGTGGAAAGGCATCATACGCTTTTTACTTCCCCCTGGCCAATGTGCAGCGTACAAAGCTTCCATTATCTGGGAATGTTGTCACAGGCTCAGATGCTTCTGGATCAGGAGAGGATGCTTCATCACTAGAAAAGAAGATTATTCACTCCTGAGCCGCGAAAACTGTGTTAAAGTAGTCGTTCTGTTACGTATAACTGGGAATTGAGCCTATATAAAACCTTACATTTCTCACTCCTGCAGTCAGCATTTATTCACGCAATCTTGGCCCTGATCAAACACTTGATAGATGTTGATGAGGGGGAACATGGTGAGGGCTCCGATCAGTGAGCCAGCCTGGATGGAGATGCCGCACCACAGCAGGGCCGAGTGACCCGCCTCGTGAAGCAAAGTCCCGATTGCCACCTTCACATAGGAGAGGAGGCCGGTGAAAACAATCCAGGAGATGACCTGTAGGGGGCACACGCAAGCAGCTGGACTCAGTGGTGGACACGAACAGGGAGGTAAAACAGACAAGACTTTAGATCAGATCTATTATGAGAACTGGAATCCTTTGTGCTCAATCCTGATAGCTTCAAGAAAATGTGTGATAAACTCCTACAACAACAGCAGGGTAACACAAAACAAATTCACCCATTTCAACACATGAGAAGCAGAAGCATGCAATTTCACAAGGGAACAAAAAAAGTGATGACCTTGCTCACATGACTTGGATGTTTTCCCACCAAACTAACAGATAAAACACTTAGTGATCACTGAGTGTCCTCTTGAAACAGTTTCCATGGTTGTGTGTGTGCTACTTGCAGCATTTCAGTATTAATGGTGCAATATTAAACATGTTCCCTTTTTTTTGCAGTCAACTTGCAGAAATCTTTTCTGCAATAAAAGAACACAACTTTGGCAGTCAAAACATGTGTTCAGTGTTTCCCCTATATACAAATAGTGGCGGCGCAGCGCCGCTGCTGAAATATGAGCGCCGTTGCTAGGGGGCGCCAGCCAGGTACCCAAAAACATTGTTTTTCTTTACTTTTTTTTCTTTTCTTAAAATAATAATAAGTGGCGACCCTTTTTCATTTTTGATTGTTTGTTATGTGGATTTGTAGTATCTGTGTTACTGGCATAGGCGACACTGGCGGTCGCCTAGGCCGCCAGATCTGGGGGGTGCTGCGCTGGTAGCTCTGGGAGGGAAAAAACATTTTTGACCGTTGGCGCTCATCCTAATGTTCGGCCTTGATGTAACAACATTCATAATTAAGTAAATGTAACGCCCTTTTCACCCCGGTTACACTTTTAATTTGCCCTGTACGATGGGCGCTGTAAGTGATGAAAGTGGGGGATGTTGGCTTATCAGGCGCCCGCAGCTCACAGCCAAAGTGCGAGCGTGGTAGCGAGAGAGCGAGCAAGGGAGAGGGCGCACCGCTACCGGCGTTGTTGTTATTAGAATCTGGTGCTTGCTTCGGTAACGGTTATAAGAAGTAGATGTTTCTACAACCAGGGTGGAGGAGAGCTCTCCTGTCAGACTGAGAGGCTCAGTGAGGTAAAGGACTCTCTGAGTATTTAGATAGTTAATTTTAGTCTAAGTTATCTCAGTGGGTCTCAAACGTTTTGACCACNATTGGTTATGTTCACATACTTATTTGATTATTAAAATGTAAACCGATCTTTTTCATATGGGCGTTTTAGAGTTGTGCCCCCTAGATCAGGTCTCTAGTAATTGTGCTCAAAGTGCACCAGATTGAAGCATTTTACTGTAAAATGCATACCCCCGGACCCCGCTAGAGGATGTGACGTCCACCCCCCAATTTAAACATGTTCATACAATACTGAATATATTTGATGCCATTTTGACATCTATTACCTATGTCAATAAGTTTCTGTTTTTGCAGTGTATTTGTCTTTTGTAGAGATTTTTTATTTATTCTTTACACATAAAATGTCGCCTAAAATCTCACCGAGGGCAGCAAATTGTCTAGAACCGGCCCTGGTACTAGGCCTCAAGAGCCTTTCTTGTGCTAACTCATAGAAACAAATTGGCGGGGCGCACTTCGCACGCGCACACACTAAAAGCTTCCACGCGCTCCGCGATCACATAATGCTGGGCCCACGTGCCTTAGCACCGCTGCTATGACTCCATCCTAGGGGAAACACTGGTGTTCATTTCCAACTGCTAAATTAGAAGCTGAGGAACAAAACCGTTTTCAGTGTGTGTGTAAGTGTTTAATTTTGTACTTTCCTTCAGACTAAAATGTGTAAAAGAAAATGCATTTATCCCCACTCACCACTAAAGCCCCTCCTGCAGAGTTTTCCCGGAGTGGAGGACAGGGGCTGACTGCTGCCAACGCCATGAGATATGAAGCAAACGCAATCCCCCCGATAGACAGGAAGCTGAGACCAGTGGAGGACCTGGAAAACAAACATGGGGTTAATCAAAACACTGTACCTAAATAAATTTTTTTTTAAATCAAGTCCCAACTTTGTAATGAATAGATGCATTTTCTCACCTTAAAACAACAAACATTGCTACAAAGCAGGCCAGGGGGTTGGCTATGTTGCCAAGGACGACAGAGAGGTGAAAGGTCATGGTCCCGTAAGGCAAGCAGGTGAAGCTCTGCACAGAGGGCAGCACGCCGTTGGTGAGGGCGTTTGAGATGGCGAGCAGAAACAGCAGGTAGATGTTCCTCTTTGTCCAAAATGTCTGTGGCACTTCCTCAATCTGCACCAGCTCCTCAGACACCGGTGTTCCTCCGTTCTGTAGCAGGTCAGATTCCATTCCGTTTTTCACCGGTGCTGCATTTTCTGACTCCAGTGCAGGTGCATCTTCCTTTGACTTTACCTGTCTTCGCATTAAAGCCTGGAAACTCAGAGCTGAGATTGACAGCATGACAAACAAGGACCAGAAGAAGTTCTGTGCAGGAAAGTTCTCTTTTAAATATTCTGGATGCACTGTGCCATTCACGGTTTTACACTCCAGCTTGCCAACGCCTTGCCCTAAGGCCACAACACAAGGGACCAAGGCACTGAGGCCCTGACCGATGAAGAACGTACGAATATACTGTCGAGGGTAACTAAACATGAAAGGCAGGAAGGTGACGTTGGACGTGCAGCAAACAAAAGACAGCAGAAAGGTGAAGAGCAGGAAAGGCAGTGACCTTTCTTCTCCAGCTATTGTGAGGGTGTGTGACCAGAAGACAGCCAGAAGAGCGGAGGACACCACGGCCAGCGCCTGGATGCAGTGGATGACGATGCGTTCGTTTAAACGCCCCGGAGCACAGTGGTGAGTGATAGTCACTGCCACTGGACCAATGTTCCCAAATGCTATCAGCACTGAAATATAGGCAGGCAGATTCCAGCCTGAAAGCAGATATAATTATCAGTTAGGGCAATGAGGAATAGGTTTATATTATATATTCTTGTATGTTACAATACATCCAAATCGATCGAAATGGGAGCTATGAAAAACACAAACTTGAACTTCTCTTTTCCATGAAAAAGTACTTATTTTAAATCACTCATGCAGCTGTATTTTTAGGCATCTACTTCTTTTGTTACATTGCTACTTAATATAAGTTAAGATTTCCAGTAGTTAACTTACATGAACACATTAAAATGTAGCTTGCAAGACATATACAATAAGATGTGAGGAAGTATTCCGATATTTGTACTAAATTAAAAAAGGAGAGAATAAAAAACACAATGTTCAAAGTACAAGTTTATAAGAAATCTCTCATATAAAAGTACACTATTCGCAACATCAACATTAATTCAATTCATTCAAGGCAACAGAAGACTGCGGTCAAGCCAGCCGTCTTTCACTTTTGCGTGGTCAAACCAGCCGCCCCTGTATTTTGAGTGCGCGATTAGTTACAGGTTTACGGTAATGCAATAAAACAACCCTGGGAAGCTGGATTTCAAAGTAAAGGATGGCATGTGGTTCATTTCTATTATTTGCGATTGAGGAACAGGGTAATTTATGAGAATAATTGTAAGACTTATTGCTTCATAAACTTGTTGCACAAATACTATGAACTTATTTTACTGTGTACTTTTTGAGAATGGCAAAATTCCCTCCAGAGAACAAGGAGGAGCATTTTTGTCTAACTTTGACGTGGGATAAAAAACATTTCTTCCATAAGTAGTTTATGAAACTGCCATGTTTGTACTTAATACTTCTAGGACTACTTGCAAACATAATATGAACTACTTTTACTGTGTACTTTTTCAGTAATTTGAGTTTCAAAGTCCTCTCCAGAGAACAANCCACATTAAAGTTGACAAAAATGCTCCTTCTTGTTCTCTGGAGAGGACTTTGAAACTCAAATTACTGAAAAAGTACACAGTAAAAGTAGTTCATATTATGTTTGCAAGTAGTCTAAGAAGTACTAAGTACAAACATGGCAGACTCATAAACTACTTATGGAAGAAATGTTTTTTATCCCACGTCAAAGTTAGACAAAAATGCTCCTTCTTGTTCTCTGGAGGGAATTTTGCCATTCTCTCAAAAAGTACACAGTAAAAGTAGTTCATATTATGTTTGCAAGTAGTCTAAGAAGTACTAAGTACAAACATGGCAGACTCATAAACTACTTATGGAAGAAATGTTTTTTAGACCACATTAAAGTTGACAAAAATGCTCCTTCTTGTTCTCTGGAGAGGACTTTGAAACTCAAATTACTGAAAAAGTACACAGTAAAAGTAGTTCATATTATGTTTGCAAGTAGTCTAAGAAGTACTAAGTACAAACATGGCAGTTTCATAAACTACTTATGGAAGAAATGTTTTTTATCCCACGTCAAAGTTAGACAAAAATGCTCCTTCTTGTTCTCTGGAGGGAATTTTGCCATTCTCAAAAAGTACACAGTAAAAGTAGTTCATAGTATTTGTGCAACAAGTTTATGAAGCAATAAGTCCTAAAATTATTCTTATAAATTACCCTGTTCCTCAATCGCAAATAATAGAAATGAACCACATGCCATCCTTTACTTTGAAATCCAGCTTCCCAGAGTTGTTTTATTGCATTACCGTAAACCTGTAACTAATCGCGCACTCGAAATACAGGGGCGGCTGGTTTGACCACGCAAAAGTGAAAGACGGCTGGCTTGAACGCAGTAACAGAAGGACCTCAGTGTTATTGAAAATATGATTGTATTGTTATAAAAAGGTATAGTGTACTGTGTAGCTGGAATATGGATAAAGATTTACCATTACTCTGTTTCTTATTATTTATTGATTGATATTGTTATACCCGTAGCTATGCTGTATTCAACAAAGTTACATTTAATTATTCTTAATACTGCATCACACGAGTACATGAATGACTGAATGAAATACGAAGCTAGCTGTGGTCGTTTGGTACACGCTAACTTCTCAGGTTTGTACCAAAGTCCCACTGAAGCCAAAGATAATGAATGATAAAGCAAAGTGTCAACATTATATGACTTTATTCATTAATAAGGGCTCAATTGTGATAGACCAAAGTTCAGGTAAGGTAAGTTGCATCACTGACCTTCGTGCAGCACGTTGACTACCACCGGGAGCTCGACCCACAGACTGTTGACAGAAATCCAGGACCCCATGGCGAACAGAGCCACAAGCCCGTGGGTCACCGGCTCACTGCTCCACCAGCTACCGATCATGGTGCTGCGGACTGTGGATATAATAACAAACAAAAGGCTGGTAACACGTTTTACCGGCTTGTTTAGGCTGAACGACGAGACGTTTGTTCTTCGCACACTGCTTTAACCTGAATAATGGTGGACACTTACGCAAAGTTCCCGCCCCTTCAGTTGCCTTTCCGTGTGCCTCGTAAATTCAACTTTCAGTACAAGAATCTAAATTAGTTATTATGTAGATCAGCCTATTTAAGAATAATTTAACGTTATTGCATCATTATTAAAGATGCATTACTGTGATCATCAGTATTATAAACTGCTGGTTAATAGTATTTTATCCATTAATAATCTAAAGTTGCAAATTAACTTTAAGTGACTTAAGATATCCAGCCTAAGTAGTGGAGTAAAAAGTACAATATGATCTAAAATGAAGTAGAGAAGGAGCATAATTGTTTCAAAAGTAACAGGATACAATAAATATTGTAATATTAAGTTAAATAGACCTATAAATACCTGCAACATGTGAACTCGAGTTAATGTGCCCCCATTTCTCCAATGGTTACAAACGTCTGGTTAACTGTATTTATTTGCCATTCCAAACATTTATTCCCCATTCTTACCAGTGTCCAGCTATTTCCATGGACTATCCTTTTATCTGCATACTGGCTGTTAGACAGAAAAAGAGGCACTCAACTTAATTTGAAAGAATTATAAGTTTATACAGCGTCTTTATTTGTTGTTGTTGCCATAGTAACTGCGTTATTTAACATTTCAGTTTCCCGAGAAACTTGAAGGCACCATCGTCAAAGAAACCATTCCTAGACCACCGGTTGGATGAAACTGGCTGGTGCGTTCGTTTTCTCCTCCGCTGACAACTGATACGGGCGGCTCCATCAAAATCAAGGTTTTTCCTTAAAATGTTTCCACTTGAGGACTTTCATTTGACAATTCGTTGGTGACTATGATTCATGCACGAATTGGCTGTAAATATGTGTATGCTGTATATGGGGATATATTATTATATCATTACAAGTTTTGGGGACTCCATCATCTTCTCTTGGAGACATAGTGGGTAAGGTTAATTTCTTTTCAAGTATACTTGGGAAAATAAATGCATTAATAGTCCAGCAGCAAGTCCTCAAAAAAGGCTTTAGTTTTCGAGATACCCCTACCCGAGGTAGAGGGTAGAACAAATGACAACAATGATTTTCTTATCTTTAGGGTCTCCCATTAATGAAATTGATTGTTTTCTCATTTTATTTGGGGAAAAAAATGTTTTTTTGGTTGTTCTTTAGAACTACCCCAATCCCTGAAAAAGAGCCAAATTAGACCAGGCCGAATGTGGGAATGGTGACTAAAAAGCCCATAACTTGAGAATGACCACTATTTTCCTCTTCAGATTTGCTGAGGTATGAACCAGGTGGCTGTCCTACATCACCAAATAGTCAGACAATTATTTAACTAAAAAAATACTGAATTATAGTCCTGTAAACTTAGCTTTAGTTTAGATGGAAATTGTACTTGTTGGTGATAGGAACATAGGACTCAATCACTTTTCTCTCATTTATCAGAAAAACAGAAATCCCTAAAAAATATACCATTACTGAATTGTCTAGGGTGCTATTGAACACTAACGAGTAGTTGTATGGAAATATCTGGTACAGTTCTATTGCAAATTAGATTTCTTTAGACATAGGCCTAGCTCTTCTCTGATACAGTCACATTCCAAATGGGGGATTAGTGGCACAATAGCTTATAAATTAAGAATGCTTACTCTGATGGTCATTATATTTGGAGAGGGAAATACCAGGTGGCTGCACTACATCACCAAATAGTCAGAATAAGAGTAACCCAATAAAATAAAGTGTATTAGTTCTAAATTGCAAGCCTCTAAAACATAGGTGTAAATAGTACAGGTTTTATTGAAACTGGAACCTTAATTCAACGTACAGTATACAATTTATCAAATAATTATGTGAGAGGTCAAGTATATAGATACTAGAATATAATGTTAAATGTCAGGTTCCTCAGAGACGTTAGGGGACACATGTTGACATTGTGCACAGCAGATGCAGAACTCCGTACAGGGAAGGCCAACAGAGAGGCACTGGCACTTTCCACTCTCTCCACACTGCATCTTTGCAATACAAGTGAGTAATGTCTCTCACTTCTCTAGTTGCTGGGGTTTTTGTAAATAGCACTGGTTGAATGGCCCCATCTCTGACAATCCACCCCTTGCCAACAGGACTCCATAACAAGAGTTTGGGTTCGGGCTGTGACACCATATCGCTGTCTGAAACATTGCTCTTTACATGTTGTTGAAATGCATCCTCTGTTGGCGGCAGATTTTCCGAGGCTGCATCTGTTGTTGATGCAATTATGAACCTCAGTTCATCCAAGTTTGTGCACATCAGTCCAATTTCCTTTTTTCCATATAGCAGAAGCGCCAATTCTCTTGAGACTGGCAAAGACTCTTCCAAGCTGGCAGAGAGTCCAAAATGGGCCAGATCTTTGAGCTCGCTGAGAGGGGTCTTGAGTTTGGTGAATGCTGTTGTCTTTCCTATTCTGTACAAACTACTTGTTGTGCCACAGCCAGTGAGTGCATGACATGCTGGTAGACATCATTGCTACGCTGATGACACGCAACTAAATATAAAGAAAGACCCTATCCCACTGTCACCATCATCATCTCCATTCCCATCAACATCCTTTAACACCTGCATTGAGGAGATAAAGGCTTGGATGCAACAAACCTTCCTGCAGCTCAATAGCTCCAAAACAGAGGCTATTTTAGTTGGCACACCAAACCAGGTCCAGTCATCCCCCATAACCCACATCGCCTTTTCTGGCCAAAACATACCCCTCTCCACAGCAGTTACCAACCTGGGTGTAAGATTTGAACGACATCTGACCTTTGACACCCACATCAAACACCTGTGCAAAACCTCCTACTACCACCTCAGGAACATTGCAAAACTCCTGTCAGATGCTGAA